ATTCCTGCTCATGTGCCTGAGTATAATCACTTAAATTATATTTTTGTTGAGTTCCAGAAATTAGCTTGCATCTTTTTTGTTTTACCTGGTGTTGGAAATATCGAGCACATTTTTCTGCTGTACGGGCACCCTGAAGGATTGTTTGACCTCAGTTCCCTCATGGTAGTTTTGACCAGGATGTGATGCCCCTTTGCCTGCTTCCAGAAACATTTTCAAACCAATCTCATTTCCTTTCTTTTCTAGTCCTGAAGCACCACCTCCACCTGAGCCTGCATGGGAAGAAAAGCAGACTAGCGTTATCCACCTTGCTGGAGAAGATTTCAGGGAGTCCTTGAAGAAGAAGAAGCACACCCTTGTCATGTTCTATGCACCATGTGAGTAAATACCTCTACGTGGATGGGTTTTATAAAACCTACAGTTTATGAAATCCTGAATTAATTCCCTCGCTGTCCCCAGACTTTTAAGGGTGAAGAGTTGATTCTGAATATAAGTGCATGGGACTATCATTGGCACCATTGTTTGTATCTTTATAAATGGAAACAAAACAGTGTACAGTGTTTATTTAAAGAGTTATTGCGTTAATGCAGACACCAAAGCAGGCAGGGGTACAAAAACAAAACAGATTTATTTTCCTCTGCTGCATTTTATGGTCCCTAAACCAAAATGTGATCCTTTATAGTAGCACAATGGACATGGAGAGCCTGACTCATTAGTGCGGCACTTCAGTAGTGAAATCGATATAGTGGTGTAGGAGGAATCAGTCCCCAGAGGCTGAGAACAAATTTTGATGGAATAAATTTTGTCTGTAATAAATCTACATTTAAATCTCCCCTGGGAATATGGGCATAGCTTCCTCCTCCCAGATTGTTTTGTGTGCATCACACACACGCTTTCTTTTTGAAGCTCCTGAGAATATTTCTAGAGAAGTTTTGAATTGGGCCCTTTATAAATTAGGTGAATGGGGAGGGACCTCTTCTGTTTTCCTGTGTTTTCCCAGAGACAGACAGACTTGGTACAGGTTCTTAACTTTTGGGGTCTGTCAAAGGGAGAAGATAATCCTGGCACTTTAATATTAGACAGTAATAACTTGCTTTTATAGCACCATGCCTCAAGCCCCCCCTAGATGCAAGAAAAATTCTTCCCTATCGCATGGCCAGCCCTGCAATTAATGGATAACCTTCAGATAAGCAGTTACTAACTTGTTCCCATTAAACTGAAGGTATTTTCCAGAAACAGAGAAAAAGCTCAGGTCCTTAATGTTTAATCAGACAGCCCCTTATTTTGCTTTTCTATTAGAGAATTAAACATGAATGCTTTTGGGCTCCCACGAAACCCTGCTGGATGTGGGATGTGGGAGAAGGGAGGGGTGCAATTCAGAAGGGAGATTTCTGGAAGGTTGTAAAAGAAAAAGGAAGGGGACTTAATCCCTTCTCAACTCCAGTTCCCACCACCTATTGACTAAAAATTGCCCATGTGCCAGGAATTTCTGATTCATGGACCTCAACTGGTTAAGAGCAAGCTGTAACTTTAAAATCAAATGATTGCCCACGAAATGGTAACATTTAGGAGTTTACGGTCTCTTGAGTTCTCTCTACCTGATGAGTGACTTTCTGTGGAAGAGAGAGGTTTATTTCCCTTTCGGTTTTTTAGCTGCGCCTTTTTAAGGCACTTAAATTCTTGGTCTTTTTTAAGGCCATGTTTAAAGCAAAGACACTGCGTGCAATGTGTGTGTAGCTCTCGGGGTTAAAAGCATGGGGCAGCTTGCCTGATGGGCTAATTATGATACCGTTGTTTGCGGGTTGACTGCTACCCTTACACCAGAAGGGGTGAGTAAAGATCAGCCTGGCCCTGTCTGTACAAACGGGCTGTAAAAGCAAGGCTTGCATGGTGTAAGGCTGTTGGGTCCTTTCAGGCTACCCTTCAGACACGCTCTTCTTGCACTGATACAGTACTGCATGAGACCCCCTATATACAGGACAAGAGAGGTGTTAACTGGAACCACTTCTGGCCTTTCCATGACTCCTAAGGCAGTCAGCATTGCCATTGCGTTGTCGGTATGTGGGTCATGCACAGTTTCTGATTTGTCAGATTTGTTCTCTCTAAATGTGGAAGTGTCTGTGTGCAAAGCAGAAAGCAGGCGCACAGAGGGAGTGCGACGAGCCTGCCCTTTGTTGGTGCAGGGGAAAGTAGCAGATGAATATTTTAAAACTCTGGTTTCTGTGAAATAATCATTAATGCAATAGAACGGTACAAATCATTCTATTTTTCAGCTTTTCTGCAGTGATAATGTGCCTCCTGCTAAATTTGATAGATTAGCTTTTGTTTACCATTTTCTCAATGTTGAGACCTCTTGGAGCTTACATTGCCAATTAGTCTTAACTTGCTTATTTTAGTGCAGAAGGAACACTGCTAAAATTGCCAGGCCCCATTATCTCAAATAATTTTCTTCTTCTATTCAGATCCACATCTTGGGTCAGTGCAGACTCACAGTATGTTACTCCATTCACTTGTGACTCTATGACAGTATCTGTTACACTTACACATATGCTGAGATATTTTAAGATTGGGGGGGTGTGTGTACATGGATATATAAAGTATGTTTATATATAAATATTTATGCTAAGAAATGTATCTCATCTGTCATTAGAATTTAAATCAGAAAGTTGAATATTCTGACCTTTGTAAAGCTTTCAGCTAGAGTGACAAACCTTTAGGCAAAGGCCACTGATATATATCTTACATGCAAATTAAAGAGAGATGTGGCTTTTCTGTGGCAGCTTCCAGTCCGAATTACTCAACATGTATAGGAGAACCATCAGTCTGCTGCTATGCTGATAACTCTGGACTGAGCTGAGCAGTGCTTTAATGGTACTGAACAGTGCTTCACGGTGATTTAGCTCCGGAATGCTACATCCACATGGAAAGGATGGGGAACTCATTACTCCATCATCCTGAATGTGGGTGAAGCATAAAGGTTATTCCTGGTGCCTGTGGAATATTTTAAGGACTGAGAATCAGAATCAAAAGTCTTGAAATTACTGGGGAAAAAATCCACTCCTGTGGACTTGACACCCACAGAGGGTCATGCTCTTGATTTCACGTTCCCATTTGTCCCTGATGGCATCTCTGTAATGACTGATTTGGGGCAGGAGGCAGCAGCAGGGGAGGTCCCCAGTACTGAGTTGGGGCAAAAGTGCCAGCTGCAGAAGAGCTAATACTACTTGTGCCAACAACTGCCTTGGACCTGATCTTCATCCAGGTGTCCATTGGGTAGGTCTGTACTCTCTGGGTCTACCGCGCCACACAGGCTCATGGTGCGGGCTGGCACTTGTCGGTGTTTCTCAGGGCTAGCACTCGGAGCAGGCTGCTGGCGCCTGTGCTACACAGCACCTGGCCTGGCTGTTCCCTGGACCCCTGTGGGGCTCTTGTGGTCCTCAGGTGGAAGTGTCATCCCAGTCCCTTATCTCTGAGTTCAAAATGCCTAAAGTCAGAGGAGGACAATGATGCAGTCTGCTGAAGTGAAGCATGATGCCCTGGGTGTTTCTCAGGGCTAGCACTCGGAGCAGGCTGTGCTACACAGCACCTGGCCTGGCTGTTCCCTGGACCCCTGTGGGGCTCTTGTGGTCCTCAGGTGGAAGTGTCATCCCAGTCCCTTATCTCTGAGTTCAAAATGCCTAAAGTCAGAGGAGGACAATGATGCAGTCTGCTGAAGTGAAGCATGATGCCATGGGTGTGTGTTGTGTCCTGGGGACTGCCATGAGGGGGTTGAGGAGCATCTCAAAGCAGTACGCTTATTGCAACAGCATTTGAGAGGCATTTTGGGAGGGTTTATGGGATCTGCGTCTGTTATTATCTCCATAAACCAGTCCTTAGAGTACTGGATACCATCAACTACTCCAAGTTTCTTTTTGTAACTGTTTGGCTTTGTCCAGAAATGGGGAGAGGGGACAGCTAGTCTGAGTATGGTTTGGTGTACACACATAGCCTGGTATGTGGATGATCGGGACTTGGGGGGGGCTGAGGACCAAATTGGGAACTGAGCCAAATGGACAAAAATAGATCCAGCCTAGCCCAGTTGGACTGCAGTGTTTAACCAGCAATGGCCAGAAGTACCCTAGCTGCGTGTCTGTGGTCTACGTCCAGAGCTTGCTTCAAGACTGCAAGTCTTGAAACATTAAATGCCTCTAGCATTAAATGCCTAGCATCCTGGACTGACCCGTTTGCATCACTGCCTCTTCTGGGATCAGCACACCGGCTTTTCTTTCTTCTTTCTCTTACGTCCTCACAGTTTGTTCATACAGCTTATCTTAATGTGTTTTATCTGCATTTTTACTTTTATATGCTCTCTCCACTCCATTATCCCAGATAATTGAGATTTGACTTTGCCAATGCATTAAATTTTAACCTCCTCCTACTACAGCATTGAAAACTGTGCAAAACAGAAGCAGTTGGTTGTGATTAGTTGTCAGAATCACAAAGGGCAACAAAGTTCCAGTAAATAACATGTCTTCTCAGTTGGAGACATTTTTCTGCATTACTCAAACTGAATTAAGGAAAAAAAATGTGACTGAAGCTGGGTGAGCATTTTTCAATGAAACAGGGAGATGCAGATAGTACTTTAAGAGTGTACTGTGTTTTTAACCCAAACTGCTCTCTGGAGAAGCCCTTGAAGTCCTACATGGAATTTCTTGTCAAGCCAACGCAAAGACCCGTACCAAATTAACGACCGTCTCATTCTCTAACTAAAACTGACATGGTTCCCTCTTCTGCCTTGTTCATCCCTAGGATTTAATATGCCTTTTTGATGTCATAATTTGGTGATGTGACCGTCAAGTTTTATCTGTTCTTGGGTGATGCTCCCTCAAACTTACGCTAGGTCTTTTATGCTCTTGTAGAAACAGTTCAGAGCTGGGGACACAGACTCCATGGATGAGCATCCTCGATTGCATTAGGCACAGCATCACCAGCAGGTCAAGGGAGCTGATCCTTCCCCTCTGCTTGGCACTGGTGAGACTCAGTTGGATTTCTGTGTCCAGTTCTGGGCTCCCCAGTACAGAAGGGGCATTGACGTACTGGAGTGAATCCAGTAAAGGGCTATGATGGTGATTAAGGGTCTGGAGCACCTGAGTCTGAGGAGAGGCTGAGAGAGCTGGGATCGTTCAGCCTGGAGAAGAGGAGGCTCAGGAGGATTTTACCAGTATGCATAAGTGCCTAATGTGATGGGTAAAGGAGACGGAGCCAGACTCTTCTCTGCAGTGCCCATTGACAGGACAAGAGGCAACGGGCACAAATTGAAACACAGGAAATTTTGCTTAAAACTAAGAGGATATGGGGGTTTTTGGGTTTGTTTGGTTGGTTTTTTGTTTGTTTGTTT